ACTTACCTCCACGTGGTGCACTCTGGGCAACGTATATTCATACGGCAAAAAGTCTATTGACTGGCAGTTGACTTCTCACTTCAAACTACCATGGCCCGACTGCTTGTCATATTCGACCCCTTTAACAGTACTCATCTTATCTTTTTCTCTACCTTTGTGTCTGTCTGCCTCTTTTACATCAGTGAATCGCTCTTCTGATCCCCACCCCTCGACTTTCTGCTAATTTGATGAACCTTCCTTCTGTGAAGCCCGAAGTCAGCTAAATGGCTAATGATAGCTATCAAAACGCCTGCCATTTTAAATGAATAAATATCTGATATACTTTTAGTGAATTTATAAGACGAGCCCCTGGTAAATTTCAAGGTCAAAATTGTATACTAGTTTTGTTGAACTAATTTTTTGTGGAAAGCTTCAATTTTTTGCAAGGACAAACATTTCCCGACTTGCAGTCACAGTTATATTTAGTAGGTAAATTAAATGGTTTCTAGGGCATATTTTATTCAACGCTTTTTAAGCTCCAAAATAGACTTAAGGAATTCCTTCTGCTCATAAAATTTAAAAAAAGACATTTCCCGCTGTTGTCTCGAACATCAAATTGGAATTTCCAATGAAACTAATTCCAAGTTTTATTTTGATTTATTAGACATTTGAATTAACATCAGAGACATTTGCCTACTGCTTCGTTATGAATCTTAATTGACAAAACAACACAACTTTTGGTGCATTGATGCCTGTCTTTTATCGGAAAATCACGTAAAACATTAAAACAAAAAGGTTGTCTTGGGACCAAAGTGATTTGATTTTATGGATTTAATAGAAATTAAAGAAATGAAAAAAATGTGAATTTGTCAACCAGTTTCACTTAGGGTAAGACACAAAAGTATTTGTCTGTCTTTTTGTACTCAAGATTCAAAATTAGTCTTGCCCTGAAATTAAAAGATCGAACCACGTACTGCTTTTATCAAATTAGTCAACAAAACGAGTATAAATAACAAAAATGATATTACATTGATTCTGTGACAAGAGCTAAACCCGAACCCCCCCCCCCTAATATCATCCGTTTTCTCATTATTCATTTCATAAATTAGAAGAAAAAAGGGTAAAAGCGGAAGAATTGTATAATAACACGAATTGAAGCTAGTGTTCCCAATAATTTGAAAGGCTTATAGCTAGCAGTAACCCACAAATTTGTCATAATTTAATAAATAACAATAATAATAACAATTAATAATTAGTATTTAAAGTATTACATCAAATGGCAGGCGTCTTGATGGTTATCATTAACCCTTAAGTTGACTTCAGGCTTCACAGAGAGAGAGGAGGAACATCAAAGTGAAAAAAAGTCGAGAGGGGAGGAGAAAAAGGTAGTAAAAAAGGTGAGGTGAGTACTGTGAAAGTAGTCGAATTATGTGAAAAGGTGAGGTGGGAAAAAGGTGAGGTGAGTACTGTGAAGTAGTCGAATATAAAAAGGTGAGGTGAGTACTGTGGAAGTAGTCGAATATGGAGACACAAAGGTAGAGTAAAAAAGGTGAGGTGAGTACTGTGAAAGTAGTCGAATATGACACAGTTAGTGGGGTGATGGTAGCTTGAAGTCGGAAGTCAACTGCTGATTAGTAGACTTTTTTGCCGTATGAGAATACGTTGCCCAGGGTGCAGTTAAAAGACTTTTTGCCGTATGAGTATACGTTGCCCAGGGTGCACGGACTTTTTTGCCGTATGAGAATACGTTGCCCAGGGTGCACACCCCGTGCTGGAACATTATAAATTCACCCAAACTTACACAGAATCACAGAGGAGACATTAACTACCACGCGATAGCACATCGCAATGCGGGGAAGAATGCCCATTAGGGCAGATTATGAATTGCCACGCCAGCCGCAAGAATGTTCAGTCTTTGGTATCCCGAAGGTTATGTTGGCTATTGAAATTCTAACCTTGACTCTATCAGCATAAATTACCGTTTGTGCGAGGACATGAAGTAGTTATGTAATCCATAGAAGACCCATTTAATTTATAAATCGTTTACTTTACTCGTGGAAAATATGCCCAGCTTTGCACCTTACTTAAATTAACCCGTGTCAATGTGTCATTTCAGCATTATATAGGCATCCTTTCATGTTTACTTTATCATGAGTACTTTTGATATACAGTTCTTTAACACCCCTACAACCGCACGGTTCTCTTTCGAAATAAGCTCAATTGATACTAAATTCATAATAGATGACGTCTTTGTCCCCTTGAAGCGTGTTCAATACGACCCTTAGAATTCGTCTGATGCACCGCCAAAACTCATCACGTCGGCGGCATCAGTCTACTGTGAGAACTGCTCGAGTGCAATTGGGGGGGGGCGTTTTCAATAAAGAATTCGAGGGTTAGGGTGTCTTGTAATCGTAGAGACACCGCAAAAAACCTGGAGTAGATATAATTTGAAAAAAAACTTATGGAAAATTTTAGAACAACTTGAAAAATAAGATTAAATTTCAATCATTTACTTCGTTAAGTTGGAAATAAGCTGAGCACTTTCTCGAACCTAAAGGTGGAAATTTCTGATGATTTATCCTTTTAATTTATAAATAAACTGTATAAGTGACGATATTTCATCAATATTATCCCTGAAGTAATTTATTTTATAATAAATATTTACAAAAGGTGGGAATAATGTTTTTGTGATTAGTCATCACAGCTTTCAAACAAAATGTAAAATTAAACAGAGGAAAAGTCTGCTATTCTTTTTCTAACCAAAGAGCTTTGGACTTTCTAAATATCCAAGTAATACGTTAATTTCAAATAGCAGGCGTTTTGATAGTTATCATTAGTCCTTTAGTTGACTTCAGGCTTCACAAAGGGGAGGAGGAACATCAAAGTGAGAAGAAATCGAGAGGAAGGGGAGGAGGAACATCAAAGTGAGAAGAAATCGGAAGGGGGAATATATGAGTGATTTACAGATGTACAAGAAACGAATAGACACAAAGGGTCAGAAAGGGTAAGATGAGTACTGTGGTAGGGGTCGAATATGACATACAGTGGGGGTGATGGTAGTTTGAAGTGAGAAGTCAACTGCCGGTTAATAGACTTTTTGCCGTATGAGTATACGTTGCCCAGGGGCACCACGAGGAGGTAAGTCTAACGCACACCCCTGTAATATATATACATATCTTATTTAATTATTGTATAAATTAACTAAATCGTATAAAATTTCGGTTTCCATAATTATCTTCTAGGGATACACTTCTTTTTGCCGCCATGAACAGTTTTACAAGCCTCTTTGCTGGATGCATCATTTTCTGCACATTGGGTTTCATGTCTGAGACCTCAGGAATTCCGATTGAGGATGTGGCTGAGTCCGGTCCAGGTCTGGCATTCGTCGCATATCCAAAAGCTCTCTCCACAATGCCGTTGAGTCCCCTTTGGAGCGTCCTATTCTTCGCCATGCTGTTTCTCCTCGGTCTAGATAGTCAGGTTAGCCGTTAAATGCCTCAACTTTTCGCAAGATTTAGAAGTGACACTCACTGGCCTTCTTCTTCCTAACAATAGTTTGTAGGAGTTGAAGGACTTGTTTCAAGCGTGGCGGACATTTTTCCAGGCATTTTCAATTCTAGAAGGCCTAGAATTCTTCTGACGATCGGTTCAAGCATAGTCTGCTTCCTTGTTGGTCTTCTCATGGTCACTAACGTAAGAGAAATCCTTTTTAAATTTAATTGTATGTTATAATTTGATATAAATAGGCGTAAAGCGTATGATTTTGTTACTTTACCAGACACTATAATTAGTGACCCACTAGTTATTGGTTTCTATAAATAGATTCGACAAATGAATTTTCTATTTGAAGCGTATAATTTATTTATTTATTTATATCAAATGGCAGGCGTTCTGATAGTTAACATTAGCCCTTAAGTTGACTTCAGGCTTCACAGAGGGAGAGGGGGGGGGGAGAACAGAAGAGTGTTCTAAAGATGTAAAAGAGACAGACTAAAAGGTAGAACGAAGGTGAGGTGATTACTTCGAAAGTGATCGAATATGACATACAGTGGGGTCATGATAGCTTGAACTCAGAAGTCAACTGCCAGTTTATAGACATTTTTGCCGTATGACTATACGTTGCCCAGGATGCACCACGTGAAGGTAGGTCTATCGCCCATTCCTGAAGCGTATAATTAAAAGTCGGATTGGAATATGACTGATTTTTTAATTAATTGAGATATTTCTAGTAATATAAGCATTTAAATTGAAATTTTTTATTTATATTACAATTTAATTTAACCTACTGAAATGTTGCTTGATGTTATTCATGGCATAGTTACTTTTAACAAAATATTATCAACAATCGAGCTATTGAGAAGAGATCCGAATTAGCGTAATATTTAAAATTTTATAAGGTTTTTAGCAAATATTAATCTGACTGTATTTTTATTTTATTTTCTTTCGGGATTTTTTGAATAACATACTTCACCACTCAATATCTGAATGTTATCCAAAAGGCACTTTTCTAATATTTACAGAATTCCATGACGTGGCAAATGTGTCACGTTTGAACCCTTGAGCTTGAAACCCGTTTCCATTAAAATGGATTGACATTTTTAAGTTAAAAAAAATTGGAATTAACTTTTTGCGAAATTTTAAATCGCGAATAATCCCACGGCTACTACTATTTTTAATACAAATTTGTTTGAACAATTTCTTTCATGTAGAATTTTACTCCAGGCGCATTGATTTTAAAGATTGTAATGTTTCAAGCTCAGTATAAATATTTATTTCAAATGGCAGGCGTTTTGATAGTTATCATTAGCCTTTTGGCTGACTTCGAGATTCACAGAGAGGAGGAGGAACATCAAAGTAACAGGAAGTCGAGGGGTAGGGAACAGAAGAGTGATTTACAGATGTAAAGAGACAGACATGAAGGCAAAGAAAAGGTAGGATGAGTACTGCGCCAGAAGTCAAACTCCAGTTAATAGACTTTTTTGCCGTATGAGTATACGTTGCCCAGAGTGCACCACGTGGAGGTAAGTCTATCGCACATCCCTATATGGTAATATAGTATTCATTTATTCCTTAATCCTATAACATGGCCTTAAATCCGGCCAACAGAACTACTTGTATTTGCTGAGTCAACAGGAAACACATGTCGTATCTAGACGGTATCTTATCAGTAAAGTGGTCTATTGATGACCGCGGAGACGGTTACTAGCGTCGGATAGGTAGGTTAGGTCAAGGGGTTTCTATGTCCAGAACCCAGGTGTCTGGACACCAGAGAGATGTAAAGTTTTGTTGAACCATCATAATAAATGGGAAAAAAGGTTAGCTAATTACAGTAAAAGAAGCACCTGCTCACAGTTAGGAAACATGGTTGTGTTAAGGAGACTTATTTGCGCCATACTGAAATGATTCTGCTATTTCTCACCTTTTATTGGGTGTACAACCAATAAACAAACGTAATTTGGTTGTAGGAACAGGGTAGAGATAACATTCTATATAAGTGTCTACAAAGGAAATCTATTTTAAAGCCTTTTTATATTTTCCCCTCCCCAAAATTTTCGATTCACGATGTAATAAGATAATTTATAAATTATTCTATTTAGACAAGTGGATTAGGACTTGTCAGATTTCAACTTGTTAATGAACTATCTTTCTATTGTATAATCTTTTTTGTTCAAGACGAAAGGAAACGAGACGTCTCAACTACCTCCCACATTTCCTATTAGAGGAGCCGGAGGAGACGACAACGACAACGTTCCAGACGACAACCGAAACGATGTGATAGCGTTCAAATTATTCGTGGATAACCTCACGAAGAGGTACTTCGACTCGCCCTCGTGGATTGCGGGTGGTAATGGACCCCCTTCTGATGGCTCAATAACCGAGGCCGACTGTGCCTTTCCATTTCTCTCCCGATGGTTCGGCGTGACCTGTGTTGTCGGAAATTGGATATTTGCAATGGGTATTCTGGTCATTATTGCTATACCTGTTGTGGCTATTGTGCTGGCCTACTTTAGACGCCGACTCAGGGAGGCTGAGAAACTCACTAGAAAGCCCTATGAAGAACTCTGTGCTCTATTGGCTGATGTTAATGTAAGTGTCTGAATGCAAGTCTTTAGTTACTGCTGGGTAACTGTTGATTCAGATCCGAAAGGAGGGAACACACGAATTTTTATCTCTTAGATAGTTTTTCAGAATGAGTAATGTAGCTTAACTTGATCTAAATGGATCTTTATTAAGACATATCATATAGGAAGGCAAATAAGTATAAAACTTCGTAAAGTCTAAAAGAAGCAAGAAAAATAGTAACGATGATCAAGAAGTACTAGGAGTGCAAAGGGTGGCTGAGGAAGATTATTTTCTCTTCATGATCACATCCCTATAACCGGAACCCATTTTTAACATTCTCATGTCTTATTAGAAGATTTATGGGGTAAAAATATTTCATGTGAATAGCAGTGGAAGATCTTCGTACCATTTTCAGAACCGTTAAATTATCAGCTCCTTGAAGCTACTAAAAATTTGAAGATCGGAGAGTGTGACTAAACGTGTTTATTGGGGAAATAAAGATGAGAAATGTGTCTCATTGTTCTCTATCCTATAGCGTTAACAGCCATTTCGTTTAAAAAGAATGGGGATTGTCTACAGTAGGCAGCCAACAGAGATTAAGGTCAGATAATGTATGGCAGAATAATTGCCGAAAGCTAGAGCATGTTTTCCCATTAAAAGAGATCACTGCTAACTTGTTCATCCTGATCACCACAACTGGGGGGGGGCTTATCATTGAATGGTCTATCTCTCAAGATCGTATTGATTAATTTGAATCATCTGCAGAAAATTATAAGTAATCTATTATTTGGCAGTGTCTTCTATATAATGGCGTTATTGACCTCTACCACCATGAAATGAATGGATTGCTAGCCTAGATATTGATATGGTGAGCTACAAATTGTTACAAGTCATCTTTACCAATAAACGTTCTCCATCGATCAACTTCTGTTTTCTCACTTGATTAGATTTTTCCATATATTTCAAGTAATGCTAAACAGTGTTTTCGCTTTCACATTTAGTCGCGGTTCTATTCGTAAAAATCACATTCCCAGATCTACAGTAGGAGCTGTTTACCACGCTCACAGTGGACAGAGTAGGGTCTTATTAGGCACTCTTAATTAGTATTAGTGTGACTATGTTTGCGGCGAAGATAGTCGAATCCGTGCCCACTAACTTCTCGACTGTCGCTTTACACTGCCCGTTAACGTCTTTTCGTAGGTTGAAAGGCACTTTTCCTTGTCTTCACCTTAGTGATCTAGATTGAAAAACTGTTTAGTTCGAGGACAACATACGATTGTTTCTAACCCAGTTTTCTTCCACCTTGCAGATTCCCCTCAGCGACATAGTAATCAACCGAAGGATCGGTGACGGTGCCTTCGGCTTGGTGTACGGTGGTGAGGCGAAATCCGCAGGCAGATGGGAAGCAGTTGCCGTGAAAATGAATACCAATCGCACCACCTATGAAGCCAAAGTGGAATTTCTTTCTGAGGCAAAGTTAATGCGTGATCTTCGACACAAGAATGTTGTCCGTCTGGTCGGTGTCTGTATGGACAGACCACAGGATGAAATCTACCTCATTATGGAGCTCATGCTTCTTGGAGACCTCAAGAAATACCTTCTAGAGCGACGTCTTACTGCTCAGAGGTAGGCTGAGGCATACTAGAATATTTACTAATCTTCACTCCTACTTTGGAGTGGTTTGAAGGATTTGTTTTGACAAACATTTATCGCGTAATGGGCGGTCATTATTTGTAAGGATCTTACAATTTTGCGGGACAAAATTACGATCAAAAGTCCATTAAAAACTGCAAATTTCGGGCACCACATCTGTCATACTGAGGCCATTGTTTATCATTATTTTACGGCTTTTGTGCGGATTACTTTTAAAGGCAGTGACAACTCGTTCAAAATCAATGACTTAATTAGTGCCATGTGTAATGTCTGCCTGATTTTGAATACCCTTTCTCTTTCGAAAGGTTTTTTATCTTGAGCACAAATAGGGGGGGGGGGGAGGCTTCTATAACAGTTCAAAAGCGAGGTCTTCTTCGCTTGTGTTTGGCTTAGGTGGATTCGTTGGGCCGCCTCTTCACGTATCATGGCTGTGTGAGCTTGCTCTTAAGAATAGCTGTTAGACGCATTAGTACTTTAAAAATGGACTTCTATCCTAATACAAATTGTTTCAATCTTGGTGGGAGTTTGGGGATTAACGCGCTGCAGGGCTGATGGTAGTTTATGTCCAAAATAACTCCCAAGCGGTCCAAAGCGGTGTGTGCACGAATGTCAATGGGGGATGATGGGGCCTACCTTAAACTAAACTAGGAAATAAATATTCCGAAACGCATCATGGTAATATTCAAATGTTCCAGAGATTGGATTTCAGGGATGAATCGATTAGTTTGAAGTTGATTTTAACGACTACGATATTCAGGTCGTCATATTAATTAGTTGATTTAATTGAATAGTTGAACAGACCAATTTGTTTCATTAATCGCTTCTTTGTGCAGTCATAAGCAGGCAGACAAAGTAAAGGCAGTCTGGTATGGCAGAGCTTCACTAGTGTTCACTCAACTGTGTCGTATAAGGGTATCCTTTTTTTGACTTAATGACTCGTGCGACTGCAGTCATGGCCATTTGATTTGGCATCAATGAAGTGCGCAAAACACCATGTGCTATTCGTGTCACCACAAGCATTTATTTATTTTGGCTCGAGAGGGAGGGTATTTGTCATGGTCATGTGACCACAAGAGTTCCAGTGTGTGCGTGTGTGTGTGTGTGTGTGAGCATTGCTTCTACGAGCAACCTGGGGCAGTTTCATTCTTTTCACCCATCCCTATTAGTCGCCTCACCTCTCCCACCTTCTTCATTGGTTATTTGGTTGCACTCCCCTTCCTATGAGACATGAAGAGCTTGAGAAAAATTTTATCTCCTCAATGAAGACGCACTTTTTTGGATGAGAGAATGTGAACTCGACTTCTCTTATAGACACCAGTTTTAAAAGTCGTGTCTAAGCATCTACGCACATAAATTCGCGAAGATTAAAGGGAGGGAGTGTGGGGAGTGGGGGGGAAGGGACTGTGAAATGTTCAGATTTATTCGTAATTCTCGCCGTCTGGATTAGCTTTAATGTTTCTGAGCCGTGAGGGGTAAAATTAACCGAGAGTCTGGCTATGCCAACTACGCTATAACTACCCTTCCCCCTATTTTTAGCGTCTCTCATCGCAACTACTAGTTCAGATTCTGGAAATCTGGTGACTACTCTTCACTATTAGCAAGCTTCGTCTTGTCGTGAGTTAATTGAAAAGGTCTCTTAATTGTGATCACTTTTCTGATAAGTTAAAAGATTGAAAGGGTAGAGTGTACGCGGAAATGAAAAGGTTGAAAGGAGAAATGGCGTAGTTTAAGATTTACTGTTAACGGAAATCCTATAATGACTCTCAATTCCATTTTGAGAAGCTTTTTTTCGACACTCATCTAGGTCTAGAGGGTGCCTCCAAGCTTTACCTTTGACCATTCCCCTCATTGGGTGTGCACGGTGGCGTTTAACCAAAGCCAGACCAGATATTATTTACGTTTTCCATGAAGAATACTAATTATGAAATAGGTCAAGAAATGTTCAAGTAGATTATATTTTAAGACATTGGAGCTTTCTCATGATCTCATTTTAATCAAAAATAATAAATGATAAAATGTAAAGGTTGGAAACACGTGGAGTGGCATTGAATACTGTTTGCTCTGATAAACTTTGATGAGTCGGCTATAGAACTGCATGCACAAAGATATGCCGGACAATCTTGTGTCAGATGTGTCAGATATTTATTTATTTCAAATGGCAGGCGTTTTGATAGTTATTAGCCCTTT